GTATAATGGGTTGAATTGTGTCCTCCTCAGAAAAGATATGTTGAAGTTCTAACCCCCAGTACTTCAGAATGTGAACTTATTTGGGAGTAGATTCATTGCAGGTGGGATTAGTTAAGATGAAGTCATACTGGCATACTGTGGGCTGCCTGAGTACTAAGTACTGTAGTGTCCTTATAAGAAGACAGCCATATGAAGACAGACACACACGGGGAGAACACCATGTGATGCTGAAAGCAGAGACTGGAGTGATGCAGCTACAAACCAAGGAGTGCCAAAGACTGCCGGCAAACCACCAGAAGCTAGGAACAGGCAAGAAGGGATTCCCCTCCAGGTTTCAGAGGGAGCACGGCCCTACTGTCACCTTAGTTTTGGACTTCCGGACTCCAAAAGCTGTGAGACAATAAATTTCTGTTTTTTCAAGCCACACAGTTTGTGGTACTTTGTTACAGCAGTTCAAGGAAACTAATGCAGAGGACTAGGTGGGTTCCTGTTTCTCCATCAGAACTGGAAGCAGAGGTTTCCAAACCCTTTAAGCATTTCCTATCTGGATGACTTTCCACCCCTTACTTTCCTCAACAGATAATAGTTACTGGAAGACAGGTATCACAGCTTATTTATTTCTGCATTTTCCACAGTACCTATTTAACCTTGAATTTAATATGCATTGGGTATGAAACTTATGGCTTCAAACATGGGTGGGTAAAATAATTTTATTTTCTATAATGAAAATAACTTTATATCTAAGTCTCCTTTCCTTTGGGTACATATGGTTGACTCAGGATTTTCTCAGGCAGTTCATGGTTTTCCTCTTACCCCTTTCCTCCTGATGGTATCTAAGTTCTGGGGAGCTTACCAACATCGGAGGGTACTTCAGTCCTTGTTTATCTTTTCTTCAGAATTCTCATTCATACAGGTTTTCAGCATCTGGCCCCACTGATAACTGTTGCCTTTTTAGTGTGTATCTGTTCTTCAGTCCCTGTTGATCCATGCAGGATGCTCTATAGATTCCATGTCTCAACAAGGAGGCCTCTTCGGGCTTGATTTCTTCTCTCAGTTCATCTGTTTTCACATGAATGAGAAAGTGGCTTCTCCTGGTTATCCTGCGTTCCCTGGGGATTCTTGGAGACTACCTTGGGTCCCTCTGTCAAGAAACATTTGAGAGCCATGTACTGGTTTCCGTTGCTGCTGTAATGAATCGCTACAAACATAGTGGCTTGAGACAGCACACACACGTATTATCTTACAGTTCTATATAGTTCAGAAGCTTGATACAGGTTTCACTGAGCTAAAATCAAGGTGTCAGCTGGGCTGTATACCTTTCTGGAGGTTCTTGGAGAGGATCCCTTGCTTTGCCTTATGCAGCTTCTGGAGAACATCTGCATTCCTTGGCTTATGGCCCCCTTTATCTTCAAAGCCAGAAACATAGCCTCTCTCTCTCTCTCTTCTTTTTTAATATTTATTTATTTAGGCTGTGCCAGGTCTTAGTTGTGGCATGCATGCGGGATCTAGTTCCCCAACCAGGGATCAAACCTGGGCCCCCTGCATTGGGAGTGCAGAGTCTTACCCACTGGACCACCAGGGAAGTCCCTAGCCTCTCTGACTCTGCTTATTGCTACATCTCTTTCTCTCACTCTTTTCTACTTTCCTCTTCCACGTTTAAGGATGCCTGTGATTACATTGGGCACACCTGGATAATCCAAGCTAATTCCCCTATTTTAAGCTCAGTTGATTGGAAACCTTAATTCCAACTTCAACGTGAATTCCACTTCACTATGTAACCCAACATATTCACAGGTTCTGGGGAATAGGATGTCGACATCTTTTGGAGGCGTTATCCTCTTACCACAAGCCATTTCTACTTACCGATCTCTGGTGTGGCAAATAGGTGCCCAGGGTCTTGTTCTCCCCACCCTGGAAATTAGCACAATTCTCTGCCCTCCGAACTTCTGAGCTTCCGATTCTGCCCTCCCCGCCTCTCCCCCATCTCTTTCCTTGATCAAGATGTAGCCAGGCAGGGGCAGGATGTTGGGGAGATTTAGGAACATCTCCTTGGGTGACTCTCCTCTCTTCCCCTCAGCCCACGTAATTTTTAACTCTCCTGCAGAGGAACAAATAGACCCTCAAAGTATCTTCCAAATCTCTTGTTTAGGGACGGATTTCAGATTTTAAATTAAAGAGAGAAGAGTCAAATGTATTGCCATTCTCTTCACGTACAGAGCTTTATCCTGTCAGTAGTGAATCATTAAGAATTCAGTGTGGGGAGAGAAAGCCAACATGGTAACCAAAGGATTTGAGGGAGGCTTGCCAGGGAGAAGAACACCCACCTAAGAAAGTGTCCAGGAAGGACAAGGAGAGAGCTGCCATAGTTCAACCTGGGCGTCAGCTCAGCTTCTCTGGCTGACACCTCCTCACAGGGGCCAGAGATATGGCTCCTCCCTCTTGGAGATCTGCTGCCACAGAGTAGAGGGACCATATCCACATCCACATTTCAATACATGAATGACTTGAATAACTTGAATGAATAAGCAATATTGCAGGTGGGAGTGGAGAACGAGGAGATGTTTTTCTATGGCATCAGCCATATGGAAGGAGCTCCAAGCTAGTGAGTTGTGACAATGATTAGGGAGGCAGGAGCCAGCTGGCTACGCTCCTCTGAATGTCTCTTCACTCTCCGATCTGCTGTGCCATCTCAAGGGAAGAAGGTCACATTGCTTTCTATGCTTGGCAGCCCATGAGTTACATCAGCTCTCGTGGGCTCTGCAGGACCCACACAGCTTTTGCTGGAGTGAGAGCCTGCCAGCCGAATGAGGTAAGGACAAGTCCCTCCTCCCGGTATCGGCTGCCGCTCTCTGTCTACCCTCCTCCCACCCGCATCCCCACTCAGGACTCACTCAATAAAAATTCCAGGAGCAAAGATGAAGGACAGAAAGGGAAAGAAAAGGAGACAAGAGGCCGTGTGTGTGCATGTGGGCACATACCCATCTCGGGTTCAACCCCTCCAATCTGGCGAGCATAGAGGCATATTGGGTCCTATTAAGAGGTTTATAAAAACTGAGATTGAACAACTGTAGTTGGCTCTAGCTATTTTTCATCATATGGTCTAAGTGTTCATGGAACCCACACTATGCTTACCACTTGATTTATCATCATTTAAGTCAATAACATAAAAGGACTCATTAAATTTGGAAAGGATCAAAAACCGAAACCCTCTCCCACAAATACAGTGCATTCAAATGCAAACCAAACACACGTGCCGCAGCTGAAACTCTATTAGAAGCAAGAACCCCAACATGAACTTTGAACTGTGTTACTACAGCAACAGCAACAATAACAAATCTCTTACATCACTAGCCGCTGATGAGAGGGGAAAGCATCCCAGATGCCTGATTGGCGTCAGGCTTGTTCTCCCTGTTAGGCCACTTCTACGGCTCCTTTTCCCAGGGACTCACCTTAAACTACTTCACCACTACTTTCCCAGGGACTCACCTTAAACTACTTCACCACGTCCAGCCCGAACTGAGTAATTGTTTGGAAAATGAATCCATCAGAGGACAGGCCTGGCAAAGGCAAAGAGAAGTGGAGGTTCCAAGGGACCCAATGGCTGTCCTCCAGGCATCTTGGGGTCCTATGTCTCATTTCAATAGAATGAGGTTATACCAGCTGCCTAGCAGATTCTCACCCTTAGCTCCTATGAATTGGTGGCTTGGCAATGCTTTTTGTGTCTCTGTCATCCTCCAGCTCCACCCTCCATCCCATCCCATGGTACATCTCCCACTCTTGACCGCAAGCACTGGGGGTACCCAAAACAGCCAACACTTGTAAGAGTGCATGCAGTGCACCAGGCAAAATGCATCTTCAACCATTTGTAGGTACAGCAAGTCCCTTACATATGAATGAGTTTCGTTCCAAGAGCAGGTTCGTAAGTCCAATAAAGTTAGCCCAGGTGCCCAACTAACACAATCGGCTGTATAGTACTGTACCGTAATAGGTTTATAATACTTTTCATCCAAATAATACATAAAAACAAACACAGAAAGTAAAGAAAACATTTTAAATCTTACAGTACGGTCCCTTGAAAAGTACAGTAGTACGGCACAACAGCTGGCATCCAGGGGCTGGCATCGAGTGAACAGGCAAGAAGAGTTACTGACCGGAGGAGGGAGAGGAGGTGGGAGATGGTAGAGCTGAAGGATCGTCAGCAAAGGAGACGGAGGGCAAGCTGCAATTCCACTCACGCCTGACGTTGATGGAACGCATGTTCGAATCTTTGAAAGTGCACAATTTGAAGGTTCGTATGTAGGGGACTTAGTGTATTACAATCCTTCTTTTCATTTTACAGATGAGAACGTTGAGGATGACAGTTCACTGAGGGCTCCTAAGAAGCAGAGCTGTGATTAGAACCCATATCTATTTGATTCCAAGGCCTCAATTTTCCTCTACCCCGTGTTGCACTTAAAGGATAAATTAGATCCAGTGAGGCCGTTAGAGGCTCATGGAGCACAGAGGCCGACTTTGATCAGTTTAGTAGTTGACTCTGCCTGTCTAGGTCTTAAATCCTGTCTGCCGGCGATGCATCGGAGCCCTTGGCTGGCTGTCAGAGCAGCTTCTTTCCCTCAGAGCTGAGCTTTTTTGCTTTGAATACACTGAAGACCTAAACCTCTGGACCTTGATCTGCTTTTATCTCCTTTTCAGCCACCCAGGTGACATGTCCTATAGCTTGTTTCCAGCTTCAGACAGACTAAAATCCCTTATCATCATCCTGCCAGTATCAGTTTCTCTGACGGTTACGGAGATGGTCTCCTGGGGGAGCCAGAGAGTCACCTCTTGTTTACAGGTTAATGAGACATGAAATAGATTTACGTACCAGGACTTCAGAGGGATTTCAATACAGAGAACTAGTGCAGGGTAAAGCTGGTTCCCAGGGAGGACAGGATGATTCATCACACACTTAAGAAAAGACAAGCCTCATTTCCTCCCCAGTTTGAGGAGATACACGCTCTATTTTGTGATCTCTGAGTGGGAGGGGCCTGGCCATCTCTGGGCCCAGAGGAGGTGTCGGCCACACTAGCTGAACTGAAGGCGGGCTGGAGCTATGCCCTGCTGTCTCCTTGCTCTTCTCCTGGGCACTTTCTTAGGTGGGTCCTCCTCTGAAAACCCCACCCTCACCACAGCTCTCTGAATCTGGAGTCTCAGCTATTGGTTTGACTCTCTTTGGTGCATTCCTTCAATGGTTTGCAGTGAATATGGGAGTTTAATCTTAGTGGCTGGCGCGCTGCATCTTGGTTTCCTCAATCCCCAGGAAGGAGTTTGGTCTCCCGTTGCCCATTGGCCCTCTGCACCCTTGGCCTTCCCAGTCTACTCCCCTCAATGGCTCCCACGTGCCTGAGTCATGGAAGAGCCTGAGCCATCCCTCTCTCAGGATGGAAGGTGAGCTGGGCTGGGGTTCTTCCCTCTAAATGGCATTTTATGCTTCCCGCAGGTGTCAGAGCTCAGACCATCCATCAATGGCCACTTATCAGGGTGCAGCCTGCAGGCAGCCCGCTCTCCCTGGAGTGTACTGTGAAGGGGACATCAAACCCCAGTCTGTACTGGTACCGGCAGGCGGCAGGAGGGGCCCTCCAGCTGCTCTTCTACTCCAACAGTATTGACCAGATAGATGCTGAGGAACCCCAGAACTTCGAAGCCTCCAGGCCCAAGGACGGCCTGTTCATCCTGCATTCTAAGAAACTCCTGCCTAGTAACTCTGGCTTCTACCTCTGCGCCTGGAATCTCACACTGAGCTGGGTAGGGCAGACATCTGTGCAAAAACCTCACCCCCTCCCCAGTCCTCACCACCTGCTCCAGGAGCCCTCATTCAGGGACTGGGCAGAGGATGTTTGTCACTGGGTTTCTGACTGTCAGCCGATGTGAGGGCAACTGAGTCAAGCCAGATATTCCAAAAGACCTTCACTACATTCTTAGGGAGAACAAAAAATTTATGCGTGTAGAACCTGTGAATCGCGTATGCAGAGTCAAGTTCTCGATGTGTGGATGTCTAGTCCTAGGCTATCATACTCCAGTCCTCAAAGTGTGCTATACCTTGCCCAACACCCTATTCTCTCACGTTCCCGTGGGTCTACACTGGGGACTGAGGTTGTGCATATGCTGGTGAGAAGGGCAGGATGCACCCCCAGTGATATGTGACGTGACGGAGGACTGGTGAGCAAATATGAGGATGCCCAACTAGGGTTATTTAATTAGTTAATTTTCATCACCTGGAAAGTCTCCTAGCCTTGCTCTTTCTGAAGAGACTAGACGTCTTTTGGAGGCTTGGATGAGGCTTTGAGCCAGGGAAGGGGCAAGGTGTTAATTCATAGGGGCTACAAGTGTGGCTTTGTTAGTATCAGAAACGTGCGCTTAGGGATGTTGATTATTGTTTCGGGTTTTAGATCGTTTTTTTTAGTCCTGTTCTACTGTGTCTCATCCCTCGCCTTATGGCAAAGAAGGGAGCAGAGGAGCAGATGGTGATGAAAGAGATACAAGAGACAGGACGTGTAATGGCAAAACCCTAAAAAAGAGAAATTACTTGGATGGAAATGAAGGAGAGGCAAAGCTTATGAGGATGGCTGGAAAGAGATACCACGGTTACCTTGGCAACTGAGCATCTTCCTCGTCCCTCAGCCCCTCATCCCTCCCTCTTCCTCCTCATTCCTAAAAAGATTTTCTTGTCTAATGTCCCTTCTGTTCCACGAGGGGGCACAAGAAGTCTTAAAATACTCTGTTCCTGGCATCATTTCATTTAGGACAATTCAGACGTTTGTTTACTTTCAGAATCATTTAATCTGCAGCACAAAATCTGAGACAGAGACACAAAGCGATCAAGACAGTATTGAATAATGCCCAAGGGTCCTCGTTGCACTTTAAGGTCTACCTTGTATTAAGCAGCTCTACGTGCGGGACGCTCTGAGCCATCACAAGGATTAAAAAGAAAAGTGAAATACACCCAAGACGGTGCTGGGCATGGTCACAACATGGTTTAATCAAGGCGCTTGGAGTTTGAGATTCACAGATACACACTACTACATAAAAAAAGGATAAACAACAAGGTCCTACTATATAGCTCAGGGAACTCTATTCAATATTCTGTAAATATGAAAAAGGATATGTATATATATGTATACCTGAAGCACTTTGCTGTATACCAGAAACTAACACAACACTGTAAATCAACTATACTTCAATAAAAAGAATAAAAAATAGAAATTGCAGAAAAAAATCAAGGCACTTGGTTTGTTTTCTTATTTTTCCGTGTGTGAAGATTTAAATTTACTAAGTCGATCAGCGATGCTAAAACCATGGAAATAAAGATGCATTTACAACTCAACTTTTGTTCACGTTTAGTAGTAAGCAGCATCTTAGGCTAATGTTTGGATGTTAGCTGGTTATTGAATATAAGTGGGAACAGATCTCTCCCTGAAACAGGTTATTTTTAGTTAATAGATTTTAATATTTAGAACAGTTTTAGATTAGTATAAAAATTGAGCAGATAATAAAGTTCTCATATATGTCCCTTTCCTCCCCAGCCTACCCTATTATTAACATCTTACATGGGTGTGGTATGTTTATTATTGAACCAATATTAATATATTATTATTAACTAAAGTCCATGGTTTACATTAAAATTTACTCATTGCATTGTACATTTCTGTGGTATTTGACAAATGTATCATGTATCGTGTATCATGTAAATGTATCATGTCTTGTATTAACCATTACAGTGTCATGCAGAATAGTTTCACTGCCTTACAAATGCCCTGGGCTTCACCTACCAATTTCTCTCCTCTTTCCCTGCAAACCCTGGTAACCACTGATCTTTTATTGTCTCTATATTTTTAAGGCACTTGGTTTTTGAGTTTAAATTTACTAGCTCTAATGACCTTGGGCTAATTATCCAATCTCTCTAGAACTCATTTTCCTCACCTGTGAAACCTTTCTTATTGGATCATTAAATGTGTTAAATTAGACGGTATTTATGTTATAAAGCCCTATTACAGGGTCTAATTTTCAACAGATATTATTTTCCTCTCCAAGTTTACAAGATATTTTGATTACAACTTATCCAAAAGAAAGACTTGTTTTTTAAAAATAATTAAATTTAAATTCTGTAGTAATTATTTAAAAATGCTAAGTGTACTTTGATGGCAAACCCATGAAACTTGTACCCTACATTCTGCTTGTTCAGATATTAATCTTTTCTGTTGGGGGTTTATGCAGTCCCAGAATCCTTCTTAACAGAGGTGTTTTCCAGGGACTCACGACTATTCAAGAGAAGTTGGTAGGAGAGTTAAAACAGAGTTTTCATTCCTGTTAGAAATTCAGAAAAGTTCTAGAAAACTTCAGAAGGAGATAGAATTTTAACGATGTTGAGTCCGGGGGAGGCTAGTATTTAGATAAGAAAAACGACATTCCCAGCAGGAGAGTCAGTTTGAATAGAAATGTGGAGATCTCCATCAATATTGAAAGTTCCAGAAAAGCAGTGAGAAAACAGTCCTGATCATTGCACAAGGCAATAGAGACAGGAGGGCGTTAATAGGTAAGGGGAGGCTAGCTAAGGCGAGGCTTGAAAGCCATCTAAATTCATCAAAACAAGTTACTATCTGCCATGATATCTACCCTATTCATGAATAAGAATCCTATTCCCCTAACTGCTTCCATAGCGTCTGGGAATCAGAAATCTACAATCATTGTCATCTCAGGAGACAAAGGAAACCAGCTCAGGAGGGTAGATACTGCTCAGAAATGTTATCTCTTGCCAGGAATCCATCAGTCTCACTCACCCCTTTGGAGAGGCGAGGCTGTCTCTTTTCCAGGAGACCTTCCAAGACCCTGTTCTTGGCTCTGACTTTGTAGATGTGCCCGGACAATTCTTCCCATACATGTCATTCCCTGGCCACTGGAAGATCTGGGGCTTCACGTCTGGATCTTAGCTACTCACGGGATTTATAGGGAGAGACTCTGAGGCCTCTAGGCAGCTTGAGGAAGGTGGGGAATGCCCAGGTTGGGAAGCTGGCAATATTAAAGTTGGGTGACTTCACAGTTGTGTCCAGGATTATACACTTTGAGCTGAGGATACTATGGCCCTCGGAGCTGCCGCAAAGCAGATTTGCCCCGTTACCTATCCTCTTGTTTCCTGTTCCCTCCTTTGAGGTGTTTATTCTGGCCGTGTGCTTTTCTATTCTCTCTGCACTGTGTTCTCCCTCCACTTCTTGCCCAGATGAGATAGACCTTGCCCATCACACAGATTTCACAGGCCTTAGTGGTAGGGATGATGCTTAGAGAAATCCAGTCACTACAGCACACAGACACCAGCTCGGATATCCAGCGACTGTCCGTTTCTGTCTGCTGGTGATCTAGGGCTCCCTTTCCTGTGACTCATTAGTACCCACTCATTAGATGAGTGGAAGGAAGTGGCAGGCTATGTATGTGTCGAGGTTGGGGGGAGGGTGCTTAGAGGCAGATGGGGGGAGGGATTTTCCTGAATGACGTGGGGCCGGAAGGGACCCCAGTGGGGTCCCAGCAGTTATTGCAGCTGTTCTGCATTCTTCACCATCCCCAAGGTACTCCCTGCAGCCTCTGAGCTTGGGCGTAACCTCCAGCAGGTGTGGGAGTTGTGCTGGGGGCTGGGTGGCCTGCACGTTTAGCTGAGGTGCCTGGATCCCCCTCCAGAGACCTTTGCCTCTCCCTCTGTAGTTCTATTTCCACTGCCAGGGTGCTCACTGGAGGCCCAGGTAGAATGGACAGCATGGGAAGAAGTTGGGACAGGATGTGGTGAGCCTGGTGTTCACAGAACTCAGAAGATGGGGGGGGCAGGAGGGACTTTCACAGGCGCCCCAGAGGCAGGACCTGGTAAATGTCAAACCACATCCTGTTGTGAGTCCCCGAGATGGTGCAGCGGCAGGTGCGTTGCTGTTGCTACTTGCACTGATGTTACTTAGAGATAAAGAGCCTGACAGCCAGCACTGGGTTCAGGCACCCCATCTCTTCCCCAGCTGTCTTCTAAAAGACCCCAACCCGCTGCTCTTTACTTCCTGGATTCAAGGCCATTCTCCTTTCAACACTATTTTCCCCTCCTCATTCAAGGCCCTGGCCCTCTTTCCAGGTGCCAGGGCTCCAGGTGCCTCTTGTGAACTGTGGGATTCCGGGGTCAGCACTGACCCCCTTACACTACAGACAGCCTCTGAGACTATGTCACAGGTGGGACTGGTTTGTGTCTGGGAAGAGCTTAGATTCCCCGAGCTACCTTCTGCATGGTGATCTGGGGCCTGCAGGCTTTGGATCACTGAATCTGAAGAGCAGAGCCTGACGATTCCTTAGAGATCACTTTACCCAGTCTCCTCACTTCGCAGAGGAGGAGATAGCAGCCCAGAGAAGAAAATTGTTCCGAGCTATGCAGCTGTGGACAGAGGAGGACCAGAAGCCAATGTCCTGTGTTTTAGCAGCTCCTGGATCTCAGGCAAAGCTTAGGGGAACGTGGGCTGTATGTTGAGTGGTGATCTTGCTATGAATTTTATGAACTACTTATAGAGAAATAAATAAGACACAATGATCAGATCCAAGATGGCCTGAGGATGGGAGGTAACTATGATGAACCACAGAGTTAGAATTCTGCAGAAACTAGAGAGTTGGAGAGATGAGCTGAAGAAACATGATAATATTAAACAAGTACTCCCTGCCACCCTGCCACCCCCGCCCCCCGCAAAGAGAGGAAACCAACTGTCTGAACACAGGAAGGGGACTATGGGCTCACAAGCAGTGCATGTGGAAAAGACCCAGGGCTGGAGTCGAAACTGAGATCTGTGAGTCAATAGGATGTTGTGGGTCCAGACACTGAAGAGTTGCCCTCATGGGATCAAAGCAGAAAGTATGGAGAACAGGATGCGAAGCTCCCTCTTCCCCTCTGTAGGTCAGAATAGCACACTTTTAGAAAAGTAGGAGGATTAAAAACAAATGTAGAGGCTTCCCTGGTGGTGCAGTGGTTAAGAATCCGCCTGCCAATGCAGGGGACACGGGTTTGAGCCCTGGTTCGGGAAGATCCCACATGCTGCGGAGCAGCTAAGCCCGTGCACCACAGCTACTGAGCCTGTGCTCTAGAGCCCGCAAGCCACAACTGCTGAGCCCACGAGCCACAACTACTGAGCCCGCGCGCCTAGAGCCCGTGCTCCGCAACAAGAGAAGCCACCGCAATGAGAAGCCCGCGCACCGCAACGAAGAGCAGCCCCCGCTCACCGCAACTAGAAAAGGCCTCGTGGAGCAACGAAGACCCAACGTGGCCAAAAATAAATAAATCAATTTATTAAAAACAAAAACCAAAAAACAAATGTAAACGTTTCAGAAGAGAGTGGCTGGGCTTTGGAGAGTAGGAGTGCTCAAAACTGTGCCATATGAGACAAAAATTGGGAGAACTGTAAATGTTTAGCTTGAAAAATAAATCCTTAGACTAGTAATAATTATCATAATAGCAGCCGACACCATGATCACAGCTTTATATGTTGTGTAGACTAAATGAGACAACACCACCTTACGAAGTCGGGGTTGTGATTGAGCCCATTTTGTAGGCAGGAAAGCCGAGTCTCAGAGGTGGTCACTTACCGAAGATCACAGAGCTGATAAGGGCAGATCTAAGGCTTGAAACTATGTCTCTTTGGCTTCAAAGTCCATGTTCTTTGTTGGCATAATGGTCTCATCTATCTACTGCATACTTTTTCCATTTTGCAAACTCAAGCTTTTAAAGGTTCTGCTTGTTCTGTCTCTCATAGATTTGTGGACTCAACCAGAGGCGGGCATGCTAGCTGTCTTAAGAAGGGCTCTCGCAGGCATATAATTATGACCAATGCTCAGCACTGCAGTGAGATTTATGGAAACCTAAAGAGGACAAATTTCTTCATAGCACTGTCCAGTGACGAAGTGGCCTACCTAGACAGGTTGAGAGTTCTCTGTCCCAGGACGGATCAAGGATAACTGGGGGGATTCAAGACTCTGAAATGTATGCTTCTTTACCACCCAGAGTGTCTGTGGGTCCAACATCCAGTCAAAGTCAAGACCCATGGTGGGAGTGAGGGTAAAAGGGCTGAGCTGTAACCACTGGAGTGGCCTAGAATGTGGGCAGCTGGGGTCACGCCCAGGACCACCATCAAGTCACTATTATAAAACCCACCTCCTTATGTCAGCGAATCTGGTCAGGATGTGGCAGGGGATGCAACCACGGGAAACTCTGGCATGCAGTCTTTCTGTCAAGACCACCCTTACGCTCACAGAGGACAGCTGAGATAAGTTAGAGCTTAGACAAAACTTCTGTGAAAATAGGCACAGTTGTTGGCTCACTTTCAGCTCTATTTGCTGATGTGCAGATCCATCCACTCATCCATTTCCCCAAGAAGCCCTCCGAGGAGTCCAGGTGCAGCAATAGATGGAGATGGAGGAGAAAAGACATGCAGCTGGGACCTTGGGGGTGGGGTGGGGTGGTGAGCAGAGACTATGTCATTTGCTGCAGACAATAAATCCCCAGCAGAGCCAGAGACTGTGGAGTGCTAAGAGCCCAGGGATTTCAGATCCACAAGCAGCAAAAGTACTCGGGATGCGAGGGGAGGATATCCAACCTTAGACTGAGGCAGGAAATGCTTCATTTTGGGGGCCAGGAGCGGGTGTATGACATCTCACATTATGGGGTCTAAAGGCCCAGAGATCACCTTTCTAGAAACTATGGGAGTCCGCCACAAGTAATGAGAATGAACTGTAGTTACAATTGTTGCCCAGGCTTGGTGGCCTTCAATACTGTGAGTCTTCTTATACAGCTACGGGGCAATTTCCATGGACATGGAAAAAGGGAACTTGGTGATGAAAGTTTAAGAAGAGGTCAGTGGGGTTGCAGATGACAGATTAATCCATAGGTTAGTGCAATGCTAAGAACTGACCTGGGGTCTTTAGCCATTTCTTGACTTACATCAGCATCTCCTAATCCCTAAATGTAATACACCGAGGTATGAGTGTGTTTTCCTTGTACACATATAGCTTCCAGAGAGGTCTCAAGTACCAATCTTCCATTCCCACACCCATCCCTAAGCAGGTGAACCTCAGGAGGCTCTTCCTGTATAGGACCGTTGGGGCTGTGTGTCACACACACTGTGAGGGGCTGAAGTCGGGCAGGCTCCCCTTCTCTGGGTCACTAGGGAGGAAGCAAAACAGGGAAATGGCTCAGGGCAGGAAACGCGAATATTAGTATCTGTCAAGATCCGTTGTTCTTATCCCGACCTCTCTTGTTCTAAAATCCTTTTTTTCTCTTCCTTACTCGTCCCTAGTCATTTACTTAAGAGAGAAAAAGTCTTTGTCTCTTGGATGGTCTCAATGTCCTCTACCTGCCCCATCTCTGGCATCCTTACTACCCAACCTTACGTAGCCTGCCCCGCGCCCCCAACCCCGGGGGCGGTAGGAAAGGCTGCAGGTCTTTACTAGATCCTGGTGCTGATAGGAACATTCTTCTTCCGGCCAAGTGACAGTGACTCAAACAGCCCTTCCCCACAGGAGTCCCATTCCCCCCACCAGGATGTCACCCAACATGACCAGCTGGATTCTTCCTTTCCCCTCCTAATTTCTAAGTAAATCTCTAAAGGTCACAGGGTTGAGGTTCCTCTCCTGGAGAGCTACCCATGCGGGGGTCAAGCTGTGCCCCTTGGAATGGTGAGAACTTGGGGGACCACAGGCGTTCTTCTAGAGATGCCTGGCTTCTGAGTCTCTTCAATCAGTAAGCACGCTTTGCCCCTGTACTACATTCTGCCCACAGATTTCCTTAATGGGATGAAGTTTGGATTAGCCTTGAGACTGGAATAGGTAGACAGGCGCAGGTCAATGAGGAATTGCTTTAGTGCTTCCCATTCCAGGAGTGACTCTGGGCTCAGAAACGCCCTCTGAGCCCCTTTAATTGGAGCGACTATGTGTCCTGGTTTGCCAGGACAATCCTGGCTTACCCTTCCTGTCCCAGCATCTTATCTTTCACCCTCAACAGCATCCTCATTCTCATAATAAACGATACGGTTGCCCTATATCTAATCCATCTTTGCTCAGTTTCACCTGAGGAAGAATGGACGGGTTGGCTAGAATTGGTCCAGAAAGATCTATTTCGATTATAGAGAAGAAGGTAGAGGCAGAAGAAATTAACTTCCCAGTGCCTGTGAATTGAATGCTGGGGGCAGTGCTGTCTGAGAGAGACAAGGAAAGGGCTGTAAAGATTTGGGAAGAGGGGCCTCCCTGGGTCAAGGTAGGGTGGGGACCAAATGGAGTTTCTTCATCTCTATTATGTTTCCAGGAGTGAGAAGGTGACATACACAGAGTCATCCATCCTCCAGGGGACATTCGTTCCTTCGTTCCTCACTTTGACAAACCCCAGGTGCCCACCAGCAACTCCCCCCCACATCCTCCCACCTGCTAATGCCTCTGCTTTTAGCACCCCAAAGATGGCAGCCACCAAGCCTGCAGACCCTCCTCTCCCGCCTCCACCCCGACCCTCCTCACAGCTCTGCTTGCACAAACCCTTGGCTCCAACACTCCCTGCTTGGCCCGCTCCTTCTGTTCCAGGCCTCATTCCCTCTGAGGCATTTGCTTGTCTCTTTAGCTGCTTATCTCCCTGTCCCGCCCCTGTGAGGAACCACCACACGTGTCTAAAGAATGGGAGGGGTTGCTTTTGTGGGTGCTGGTCTAGAGTCTAAACTCAGTCTCCTTTGTCTGGGGATTCTTTAGTCATTACCAAAACAAATACACAACAACAGCAACAAGTAAAAACACTGTCTGCATTTTGAGAAATCTTGAGATACTCATGACTGATGGGAAATTATGGGCATGTGATAAGTTTCCCAGGCCATCCCTCCCCTGGGCCATGTCCTTTCCTGGCCTGTGTGAGCTGGGTCCAGAGAACCCCTCGTCTCCCACTCCCGATACGCAGTGTAGTGGGATGAATAATGTCACCCCGAATTCACGCCCACCCAGAACCTCAGACCATGACCTAATCTGGAAATAAGATCTTTGCAGATATTATTTGAGAATCTTGGGGTGAGATCCTTCTGAATTTAGGGTGTGCCCTAAATCCAATGACTTGGGTCTTGGTAAGAGAAAGGAGAAGGAAGCTTACACACAGAGATACAGGGAAGAAGGAGACATGAAGACAGAAATAGAAGGTTGGGGTGATGCCACCATGAGCCAAGGAGGCCAGGAGCCACCAGAAAGGGGAAGAAGCAAGGAAGGATTCTTCCTTAGAACTTTGGAAGTGACCGTGGCCCTGCCAACACCTTGATTTTGACTTTTGCCCCCCAGAACCGTGAGGGAATACATTTCTATTGCTTTAAACCATTAGGACTTTGTTACAGCACCACTGGGGGACAAATATACTCAGGAATCGAGGTGTCCTCAGTCTGTTGCTACAGGTCCTGGCCCACACTTTGGGAGCAGCTGCTCTAAGGTCACCCAGCGATTTTGTGAGCAATCACAACTTCTTGGTCACGACTTGGGAAAAACTTCCTGAACTGCCGTCTTCAGAAGAATGTGCCACAGTTTCACAGCTTACCAGTCATTTGATCTATGAACTGTGGTTTCTTCACATATGAAGTTGGGAGAAAAACACCTGCTTCTGGGATCATTGTGGGGATTGGCTGGGACAACACATGTGCCAGCCCGAATCCTGGAACAAAGCAGGCTATAAGGACTCCACTTTCCCCACCCTCTCCCAGCTTTCAGAACTGCTTTCTCACCCCCAGCGTTCTGCCTCAACTAACTTACCCAGAGCCTCTCTCAATGGTCTGTCTTCTGTCCCGATGGCATTCCTCTCCTCCCTGGGTGCAGTGTTCTACCACAGTGATTGTAACCTGCAGTAGCATTTACCCCAGTAAAGGAACAGTCTCCACCCAAGTGGGTGCACTCAACACACTACATTTGGGGTGACCTGGTCTCCACTCTGTTGGAAGAGACACTCAGGTGCAGCACCCCAGCCCCCAATGGACCCTGCTCCCCTTCTCCATTCCTCCTCCTCAAGGCCTGACCCTATGTGTCCCACCTCCATGAAATCTCCAGGTTTCACACTTCAGTGTTTTCAACTCTATGCCTTCTTTAGGATTCTAACTTAGGCAAAGTAGAACTAAATCTTATGCCCAAATTCTGAAAGCAGACAAGATGGAAGTGTTAAGAACCAACACAGGTAAACTCTAAATGCGTAAGGAGTGAAACTTGAATCTGGAATTGAGAAATGATCAGACATTCTAACCTACAGGTCGCCCTGTCCTCTGTCCAGCACTGAGCTGGGGGTTACGGTTCACCTCCATTCATCCTTATGCCATCAATATGCAGGTTTTCCAGAGTCCAGCTCCTTGCCCTTCAAACTAACCCTACCCACTGGGGCCCAGAATACCCAGGTGTGGACCATGGGGTCCATCCTCCATCAGGACAAACAGGAGGAATCGACATTGCTCAGAGAGGAGGGTCCATCACTCTGTATGCCTGAGGGGTGGTGATTTCCCTAAATCAGAGGTAGAACAGGGAAGGGCAGAACTCCATAGACACTCCTGGGACACAGTCAAGCCCACCATGACACTTTTATTACTTTAATCAATTTCAGGTTCAGTGGGGAGGAGCTCAGTCTGCAGGGAAGCTGAGAGAAGGGACAGATATCCATGTAGGAAGGAGATAAAAGGTGGAGAGAGAGAAACTCTTGAGGAACACAGACTGGAAACATGTTAAGGAACATCCAAGGAGAGGATGAAGAATGACTCAGGATGCACTTTTGGAGCTGGTCTCAGGAATCCTTTTTCTTAACCTGAGGAAAAGAGGACATTGTCAGGGTGCCAGGGGTCACCGAACAGTACGAGTGGGTCAGAGGAAGCTGACTCTAGGGCTTGATTTCGGGTAGAGCTAGTTGATTCTCCCCATCCTCTAAAGCTACATTCTGTGATGACCACGGACGTTGTCCCACGTCTGGCAGCCCCACTATAACTCCATTGAGGTGCCAGGACATGAGTCTGAGGCTCCCTCAGTTACCCTTCATGACATTCCACCCTCTCCCTTCAATCACCTGTCCCATCCTGCGCTCGTCCTTACCATGGCCATCAGCACCAGGGCGCTGACCAGCACAGCATAGAGGGTGGCCTTCCCCAGCAGGATCTCATAGAGGATGGTGGCAGACAGGACCCCTTGCTGGTAGGACGCTGTTGGCAGGAAGGGAGAGCAGGTAGGTACCTGTGAGCAGGGATCTCTGGTCTCCTTGCCCACGCACCACCCACCCTTCCATGCCCCACCAGGGTTCATGGGTTTTGCATTCTCTGGTTCCAGAGAAAAGACCATGGGAGATGGAGACAAAGGAGCAGGGGGCCACTTACCCGAGGTGAGGCCACAGTCTGAAAGAAAAAAGGGGGAGGGAAATGGATGAGAGAGTCCATCTTCAAAAGCAGATTCAAAACTAAGCCAGCCTTCCTCAGCCCAATAGCTGGCAAG